AAGGGAGATTCCTTTCTCTAAGTGCCGCTTAGGACGGCTACTTCTTTAAGAGGGCGTTTATAATTCTGATATAGAAAAACTGGAAAATGCCTTTAATGATTACCGGCTTTAATTAAAAACATGAAACACGTGATTATTTGTCATATGTAATATGTTACAATCAGCCCTCTGTATCCATGGGTTTCTCATCTGTGGATTCCACCAGGCTCGAATCAAAAATACCTAAAAAAATCACACAGAGTTCCAAAAAGTGAAACTTGAATTTGCCATGTGCTGAACTGTATGGTGAATCCACTGAAATGAAGCGAGGTGTAGGCATGTCCTTCTGTAGCCTAGATGCACATAGAGGTCATACACAAATACTACATCATTTTCTTTTTTCTTAATCGAATTTCTTGGGGTGATATTTCTTAATAAGATTATATAGGTCTCAACTGTAGATTTCTATGATACATGATCTGCATGTTGCATTGTGTGTCCACCACTTTATATAAAGGACTACAGCATCCAGAAATTTTGGTGTCCACAGGAGCGAGGGGTCCTGGAACCAATACCCCATGGATACCGAAAGATGGCTATATATAGGTCAGTAAATGCACACAGAAAAACAAGCCAAATGGCACAAAGTGAGGACTGTCTCCAGATGTTCACATGATGCTCGGCTTTTACGGAAGACAAACATTAGTATGGTGATATTTGTTGTTGTTGTTTTTTTCAAAGATTTTATTTATTTATTTTTAAAGAGGGGAAGGGAGGGAGGAAGAGAGGGAGAGAAACATCAATGTGTGGTTGCATTTCGTGCGCCCCCCTCAGGGGATCTGGGTTGCAGGCAAGGCATGTGCCCTACACTGGGAATCGAACTGGTGACTCTTTGGTTCGCAGTGGTTTTTTTTTTTTTAAGTGAAAATCCTCTCGGAATTTCTTCTGGTTAGTGAAAACAGGTAATAATGTTTTGTAAAAGTGAAGTGGTACAGTGCAAACTTCTGGAAAGCAGGGGATGCCTGTACTAATATAGTCATTCCTGGTTCCTTTGGATCAATGTTTGCATGATATATATTTTCTCATTCTTTTACTTTGTCTACATATGTAATTTTATTTGAACTGAGTTTTCTGAAGACAGTATATAGTTATGTTTTTTAATCCACTCTGCCAATCTTTGTCTTTTAATTGGTGTATTTAGTCCTCGTACATTTAAAGTAATTATTGGTATATTGGAGCTTGTATGCCATTTTATTATTTGTTTTCTGTGTTTTGTTTCTCCGTGTTTTCTTTTATCTTCCTGTATATTACTGAATATGTTTTATAATTCCATTTTTATTTACCTGTGGTGTTTTTGAGTATCTCTTTGTATAGGTTTTAAAGTGGTTATTCTAGATATTACATTTTATCTATATAAAAATCTATTGGTATTGGCGTCTTATCATTTCAAGCAAAATGAAGAAAACTTACATCCTTTTTTGTTCCTTTATCCTCCCCTAGTTATACTATAATTGTCTTAAATACTTTTGTATACATTTAGAACCATATCAGTGCTACAATTTTTGCTTCAACTGTTAAACATAATTTAGAAGTCTCAAGAAGAGAAGAAAAATGTAATTCTTCTCTCTTTTTTATCTGTTTTTTCCTTTCTTAATGTTTCAAGATTCCTTCTTTTATCATCTCCTTTATGTTTACAATACTTCTAACAGCAATTCTTTTATGATACATCTGAGGATTACAGATTCCTTTAGTTTTCTTTTATTGGAGAATGTCTTAATTTCTTCTTTTTTTTCTGAAGGATATTTTCGTTGGATATATACTTCTGTATTAATAGGTATTTTTGTTTTGTTTCGTTTGCATTGAAATAAATGTGCCATTTCTTTTGGCCTCTATAGGTTCTGATGAGAAACCAGCTGTCACTCAAATAGATTTTCCTCTATAATTAACGTATCATTTCTTTCTGGCTGCTTTCAAGACATTTTTTTTTTTTTGCTTTAGCTTTCAAAATTTTGATTATGATGTATTGTATGGTTTTCTTTGGGGTTTTCCCTGTTTGGAGTTCACCCAGCTTCTAGAATCTGCAGGTGTATGTCTTTTGCCAAATTTGGGATATTTCTATTTATATTGTTCTACCCTTATCTTTATCAATTCTTCCCACTGTCCCTTCCACTTTAATGTTGAGCCTATCCATTTTTAATTTTCAAAATTACTAATTTTTAATTTCACTTATTGTATTTTTCAGTTCTACCATTTCCAAATCTTTTTCTTGACACTTTCTATTTTTCATTAGTTTCAAACATGTTTACTAATTGTTCATTAAAGCATTTTTATAATGGCTGCTTTAAAATCTTTGTCAGATACTTCTAATATCTGTCATTTTGGTGTTGGCATCTATTGTCTTTCTCAATTCAAGTTGAAATTTTCTGGGTTCCTAGTAAGACAAGAATTTTAACTAAAACATGGACATTTTGGGTGTTATAATACTCCAGATCTTATTTAAATTTTCTCTTTTAGCATTTTTCTTTTCTGACACTTATCATACTTCCAGGTGGGGTAGAAATCTAAGTCCTCCACTTGATCTATTGACGCCCAAGGGATGAAAAGGCTCCTCATTATTACTCTGCAGGGGTAGGGATTCTGACTCCCCCCTAGTCTTCCACTGTTAGCATTCTGGCTGGGCGGACAGGACTGCCTTGCTACTTCTCACACGACCCCCACTGACATCACAGGGGTGGCGGCAGCCGCATTACTGCCAGGCAGTGGTGAAAGTCCTGATACTCCACTCAGTCTCTCCCAGACACCACCCACGTGGGGAAAGAGCAGGGTGCCTCCTTTCTGAGAATTGGGGGGTTCAGTCCGGGCTTCCCACTTGGCATGGAATACGGCTACGGTTTTTACTATGGTGCTTGGCTAGATGAGAGCAATTACCTAAAAGTTTCTTTTGGAAAGGCTGTCATTATTATGGTCCTTTGGCTGGTGTTGGGGCTTTTTTGGGTCTGCACCCATACCCAGTGGTGTTTCTGGGTCCTGGCTGCAAATCTAGAGCATATGTGGTAACAAGAAAACCTGAGAACGCCCCCCTGGTTCCAGGGTCCCTGCCTGTTTTCTTCTCTACCTTTCAGCATCTTCTTATGTTTATTTTACATATACTATACAGGATTTTTTTTGTATTTAGTAGGAGAAACAGGGAAAAATACATCTATCACATGTTCTTGGAAGCAGAAGTCCTTGGAGAAGAATGGAGTTCCTAACTGGACAATGCTTTTTAAAAGCCATTCTATAGAGTAAAAAGAAAGATATCAAAAAAGAAAAAAAAGGGGAAGGGGAAATAAGATGAGTTACTGAAGTGTAAGTAGAGTCATTTTATACATGTCTGCCAGAATTTCAAGTGACTTCTATTTGTTCTCAAATGATTCCAATGGGGTATTGCCCTTAGAGATCATCTAGTCCACTCTTGATTTGACCAATGATCAAGGACCAGAAACGTGAAAGGACTAAACTGAGACGACAAGAGTGAGTCTGGGGCGAAACTATATGCGAGTTGAGGGTTTCTAACTTACAGTCAGTGCCATGTTCACTTAATAGGCCACCTCTTTCTTTACTGTAATATGAGAGAAAGATGAGGGGCTGGACCAGAAGGTCTTTAAGGGACATGTCTGACTTTAATCTTTGGGGACTTTTATGACTGTCCTGAGCCTTGCACCCCCTCTTGCCATCTTATCTTCTTCCACTGCTATGCTATGGCTAGAATAAAGAAGAGGGGTTGGGTAGAACGTGGAAGGGAAGCAAAGCCCACAAATACAGAAAAATGTATTAAATTTCTATTTGTGGTGACTGCTTCTTGCTACATATTTGGAAAACGCTTCCCATCCAATACGCAGGCTGTACAAGGGCAAAGGCAGGGCTGTGACTGGTCTCTGGATTCACTATGCACAGGATCCCACGGCACCCGGGGCAGAGGAGCATGATGCATTTCAATCAGGAGTCCTGCCTCATGGTTGGCTGGGGCAAAGAGACAGTGGAGCAGCTATGGGGGAAAGGAAGCTTAGCACAGCGGCCGACAGCCTGAGTTTGAACAGGACCCACTAGTTGTATGACTCTTGGCAAATATCTGCACCCCAATTATGTACAGAGACATAACTTTTCTGTACCTCACTCAGTCTCTTCACCTAGAAAAGGGGAACAATATCAAAAACTAAACCTCGTTAGTTCTGAGAAATACAGGTAAAATCTTTAAATGGTGTCTTTAGCTGCTACTGCAACTGTTGTTATTCATTGAAGGCCTCTTATAAATAAAATGCTTAGACAGACAATTTGCACATCCTATATTTAATCCTAGAATAATCTCCTGAAATATGGGATATTGTTATCCCTATTTTACAGATTAGGAAAATAGGATTATTTTATGAAAATCATTTATAAATATATATAAGTTAATATTAACTAAAAAGATAGGTTACATTTAAAAACAACATTTGAAGCCAAAAGTAAAGTAACAAAAACATACCCTGGCACATTGAGAAAATAGAATCAGCAAAGCAGTGATATTACCAGCGTTATATTACCATGACTATTATTTATTACTTTTAAAATTTAACCTCTTCCAAAACCATTTAAGGAGGAAGCTAAAGGCGGAGCCTGTTCTCTCCACCGGACTAGGGGCCCTGCTTCCCTGGGGCTCGTTTTGCAAAGTCCTCCCCACTGGACTACAGGGCACACCCTGGACTCCTGCTGGGACCCCATACATGCTTTGTACAGAAGAGTCCTTCTCACCTTTCTGTGCCTAGAGGGGACGAACAGCAGCATAAGCTTTAAGAGTAGGCTCAAAGAGCCTTTTCTACCTGTCAAACAGAACTTCCCTCGCTCTATTCTCATTTTATTTCTCGTTTTAAGCTTTTGGAAGGAAAAAGTCCAACAAATAATTCCTTGGCTGCTATTTAGTCACTGCCTGAGGTTATTATTCTGCTAATGCTTTCTGATACAAGAATAAAACCCAGACATGGGCAAATGTGCTTACTTACCCATGCAGAACGGCTCCAGTGAACTCAGGGGCGAGACTTCACTCTGAAAGTTCATCCTTTCAAGGACCACTCTGATCAGCCAGGACTTGAGTTTCTCTGGGCACGGTTTAAGCAAGAAGTAGCTGCCAGCATAGAGGGCATATCGAAGCCAGCACAAGAATGGAGTGGCGATCCTGCCGTTGGGTGTCTCGGACATTCGCTCAATTGTGGGAAAGAGCAGAATGGAGCGAATTATCTACAAGAGAAAGCGTATTTTGATGAGAAGTTTCTTGAGGGATAACCTATGGCTTTATTGTTTCTTTTATATAGTACTGACAAATGGCTGGGGTTTGGAATGTGTCTAAAGATCTGTTCAGACTAAGAAGCAATATCCACCATGATCTCAGCCCGCAGCCAATCCGGGCAGAAGAGAAGGATGACCCTTGAATGGCTGGGCTTTAGTTTTCAGGGTGAGAAGGAAATCTGATTGCTAAGTAGCTTCTTGATTGTGACAGCAACTCATACTCTCTTTGAGGGACTGATGAAAGGAGAAATTAATATACCATTTTAGTAGTTATAACAACTTAATTTCACTAATGATATCAGAAGTAGAGCCACATAAAAACAATTTCTAGTCAGCATTTCTTTTATTGATTACATTTGGAAATAGTTCCCTTTTGAAAAGCTCTTCCATTCCTTCATCTTACCAACCAAAGATAACCTTTAACAGGTCAGGGATAAGCGAGGCTGCAAATCTCTATCTCATGGGGAAATGTTTAAGGGCAAAAATATAATTTCAACTCAACTCCTCAGAATATCAGGGAATGTGTTTTAATAATATGCCAGAAGAATAAAGGACATTGCTAAACATTTTTAAATTTACCATGATTTAGCATATTAATATTTAAATAATTAACCTATAAAAATAATTTCTATGGGGAATCAAAAGTCAGTAACAGAGTAACAAAAATGGAACAGATCATCGATGTTAACAGATTACAAAAGAGGAAATGAGAGTGAATGCAATGGTTTTGCTTTAAAAAAAAACATTTAAAATGGTTAAGTATCACATACTGAAAAGTTTACAAGTTTAAATGTGACATTTAACAAATAGTTTATAAAATGCATAGCTATGTGAATCAAGAAACAAAACATAGCCAGCACGGCATCTTCCAATCATAGCTCTGTCCTGACTTCTTTGCTTTGCATCAGTGCTTATTATCCCTTAATATCATGATCATGCCCTTGTTTGCTTTATATTAATACTTTTCATCCTGCCACAGAATGAGCTGTGTCTCCCCAAATCTGTATGTTGGAGTTCTGACTTCCAATGTGACTGTATCTAAATGTGTATTTTTTATTGATTTTTTTTTTTTTTTTAGAGAGAGAGTGGGAAGGAAGGAGGGGGAGAGAGAGAGGGAGAAAAGGGGGGAGAAAGAGAGAGAGAGAAACAATGATTTGTTATTCCATGTATTTATGCATTTATTGGTTGCTTCTTGTAGGTGCCCTGACTGGAGGTCAAATCTGCGACCTTGGTGCCTCTGCATGGCCTTCTAACCAACTGAGCTACCTGGCCAGGGTCCGAGGTGACTGTGTAGAGATAGGTAATTAAGGTTAAATGAGGTCAGAAAGGCGGGGTTGATAGGATCAGTTATCCTTATAAAGAGAGATCCTGGGGAGCTCGCCCTCTCTTCCTGAGCATACACCAGAGGTCTGGTGGTCTGGCGAACACCCAGGGAGAAGGTGGCCATCTACAAGCCAGGAAGAAGTCTCACCAGAAACTAACCACGCTGGCATGCTGATCTTGGACTTTCAGCCTCCAGAAAGAACAATGTCAGTTGTTTAAGCCACAAAGTCTATAGCGTTTTGTTATGGCAGCTCCAGCAGACTAATACATATCCCTTAATACCACAGTTAACTTCTTTCTGTTAATGAGCTTTATATAAATGTAATCATGCAGTATGTTTTCAAGTTTTACTTCCATGACTCAACATTTTCTGTAAGATTCACCCATGGTGATATATGTAGCAATAGATTACCTTTGCTATATAGTTTTCTGTTGTATGAACATACCTCAACTTACTGATTTTATTGATAGATATTTGGGTTGTTTTCAGTCCAGAGATACTATAAGTATGCTGCTGTGAACATTTTTATATATGTTTCTTGGTGCATGTGTGCATGCATTTCTGTTGACTGTATCAGCTAAGAGTAGAAATACAGTATCCATATGTTCAGCTTTTGCAGGTAACCCAAATAGCTTTCCAAAGTAGTTGTATCAATTCCCCCCACAATAACAGACATGAGTGCATATTTTTACCTATCTTTAATTTGGCACTGGCAAACTTTGTAATTATGACTAACCTGGTGTATAACGGTATTTCACTGTGGCTTTAATTTGTTGAATAACTTTTATATGTTTATTGGACATTTTCTATATCCTCTGGGGTGTTTATTCAAGTCTCTTACACATTTTTCTATTAGGCTGCCTGTCTTTCTTTTTTTTCTTTCTTGATTCATAGGAATAGTTTTTTATTCTGCACACCAGTCCTTTATCTTGCGGCAGTCATTGGCTTGCCTGTTCAACACTTGTTAGTCTTATCTTCTGTTTTTTCATAATGGAGATACATTCTTAAGTTTGATGCAGTTGAGTTTAACAGTTTTTTCCTTTATAGTTATTGCTCTTTGTGTCTAGTTCAAGAAATTCCTCTTTAACCTCAAATCATGAAGATATTATTTTTTCATTAGAAATCAGATAGTGCTACCTCTTATCTTTTCTGCAATGTGGGTTTAAGCCTTCGTTTGTGTCTGACTTCAGTGTGAGGCTGTTCCTGTGATTTCAGGTATCAGTGATCTGCCATTTCCCTTGCGTATTTACATTCCTCCTGCTGAATGAGCTGAGTGCGTTTTTTCCATTAGGACCTGAGAGTAAAGGTGGGTGTTTGTAGACCTGGTCTCCTAGTCCTTTTTCACTGTAACCTGTGTGATGGCATTGCCCAAATGTTCAAGTTGATCAGGTAGCACCTGTAATTCTGCCTTCATGTCGCTCTTATTAATGGAGAGAAGGGATTTGAGGGAAGACTGTGGAGGACTCTTTTCTTTCTAGCCATAGCTTCTTGTTTTTCCTTAGATATATCTGTCAGCTAAATGTTCAGCCACTTCCTGTAGACTTTTCCTTTGCTCTCAACAATGACAGATATTTTAGTTGTTTTCTTTTTTGGGCATAATAATTCGACCTCTACTAGACCTCCTGCTCTGTTACATAAGTAAGAATGTCCTGTTCCCTGAACACCTCCATGGCCTTGATGGGGAATAAAAGACATTCTTTGGGAACAGGGAGCCACAGCCTTTACAGATGGCTTTTAAAGTCTTGGCTTGGCAACAACTGATTGCAAAATGCTCATAGTGTGCTTTTCAAATTAATGCAGGGTTTCAGCCAGAACACAGGAGTTTCTGCCACCTTGGCATCTTCTGAAGTACAAATCAGAGATGCTGGATGTATAGATGGCGCTTAGGAGGCATTCATGGGTACCTGTAATGATTTCAGCTCCAGAATGGCAGGGATGATCCAGAATCCTCCTCCAATCAGAGCTGGCTGCCTGAACTGTGATGGGTTTATACAAAGGTCATGCACAGTTGACCCCTGAACAACGTGGGGCTTTAGGGTTCCCACTCTCATTCATTCAAAAGTCTGCGTATGACTACTGACTCCCCTAAAACTCAGTCACTCCTTGTTATCCGCAGGGGGTTGGTTCCAGGATCCCCACGGATCCCCAAAGCTGCATATTCTTAAGTCCCTTACGTAAAAGGTATAACAGGGCTGTCCAACCTTTTGGTGTCTCTGGGCTACACTGCACGAAGAGTTGTCTTGGGTCACACATTAAATACACTGTGATGTAATCACACACAAAAAACCCCTCATGTTTTAGTAAATTTATGACTGTGTTGGGCTGCATTCAGAGCCATCCAGAGCCACACGCATGTGGCCCCCGGGTCACAGGTGGACACACCTAGATGCATACAGTTAGCTCTCCTCACCCAAGGAGTCCCAACCATGCATCACAAATACTGTGTTGGATCCACGGTTAGCTGCATCCTTGGATGTGAAATGTGAGGATCCGGAGGGCTGACTGTATATTTATTGAAAAAAATCCATGTATAAGTGAATCCATGCAGCTCAAACCTGTACTTTCAAGATTCAACTGTATAAAGATATTCTTTCAACTGTATAAAGATTAAAAAAAAAAGATTCAAACTAATGCTAAGAGATCTCTAGGAAGTATTACGAGACAAGGAAAGTCAGTTAAAGGAATTGTCCCCCCTGGATGCCGCTCTCTCTGGGACTCCAACCCCATGCACTCAAACACAGATAGAGAAGGGATGACGAATCCAGGGGCGTTTTTGGTATTTGGTCACCTGTGATCCCCTCTAGCATAACACATGGATACACACAGTGCTCCTGATGCAGCAGCAGTTGCTGGCGACACAGGGTAAGCAGAGTATGCAGCACAGGCTCCATCCTGACACCTATCTTCAGTTGCAGGAAGCACAGGTAAAGAACCCACAAGCTTTCTGCTCTCCAGTTCTCTCCATTCTTGTTTTCGAGATGCAGTGGCTATGCCACCACTTCTCTTTGCACTTTAGTCCAAAGAGGTTTTTCAGGACTTCTCGGAATGGCTCCCAGTCAAACGTGACTGCTGTCTCAGAGATGTGGAATATGCCCTTCAGAAAGGCGAATATTAGGAAGTCTGACAATACCAAGTACTATGACGTGGATCAAAAGGAACTCTTAAACACGGCATTAATGATTATTACACTTTCCTCCTGTTTTTGAAAGTACAGTCATGGTAGTGGGTGTCTGGAGCTCACACAGAGTAAATTTTTATTGCACTGTCTAATGGCAGTAGTTTAGTTCAGGGAGCTGGCTTTTCACTTGGATAACAAACAGCATGCTTTAAGAACCTGAGAGGTAGAAATGATGGAAAAATTTTCAGCACTTGGAGTGGTGCTGCAATTAAGCATTGATTCTGAGTGACCATGATTCTGCGCCTTCACATTCACAATTCTTCCACTATCTTTTGGGTAGTTCTACTATCAGGTCTTTTTATTCCTGTGCTACTGGACTTAACAAAACCTGAGAGGTATAAAATAGGGGTGGATTCGTTAAAAGTAATCTTTGGTGTTGAGAGAGGGAGGATTCCTCACTGCCCCGCAGAGGCCTCCCGGCCGAGGGGCTGAGAAGGAGCCACCCTCCCT